TCAAACAGTAAACACATTTAAAAAGCCATAATGTGAAATAGTCCACTTTAACCTCATTAAATATATATAATTGTTAATTCTCCATTTTACCATTCTGTGTAAAGAACCAAAGTCAGCCGAAACAGGTTTGGCTCAGTGGATAGAGCATCTGCCTGCAGACTGAAAGGTCCCAAGTTCGACTCAGGTTAAGGGCATGTAACTTGGTTGCGGGCACATCCCCAGTAGGAGGTGTGCAGGAAGTGGCTGATCGATGTTTCTAACACTCTATCCCTCTCTCTTCCTCTCTGTAAAAACTCAATAAAATATATTAAAAGAAAAAAAAAAGAAGAAAAACCAAAGTCAAAGAGAACATCAATGAAACGAGAACAAAACCCTGTTCTCTGTAAAACAGTGGGCAAGCAGAAAGGTGTGAAAAGCCCAGCCAGATGTTCTGCTGCTGGGCTGGGTGCTCCCCGACCCCACCTCCACTTCCTCTTTTGCTTTCTCACTTCATAGACTTTTTTACATAAGGTAGCGTTAGAGTCATTGGACTAAGAAGGGGCCTCTGAGACCTTCTAGTGCGAAGATTTCATTTTGCAGAGGATGAGCCTGGAGCTCAGAGGGGTTCAGAGGCTTGCTCAAGGTGACACGGGACAGAGTTGCACTGAAATCTTCCGTATGCGACACGTCCTTGCGTTGCTAAAGCCATCCCTGCAGAATGGTGCAAAGAAGCATTTACCTCTGCCTGGGCACCCCAGATGGATTCCCAAAATGACTGACAGTGCTTTATAATTTGATTGTTAGTCCTTAATAAAGACAATGGAAGTAACAGAGCAAAGTAGCTAAAGGTCAGACTACCTATCCACACTCTGCCCCTTGCACAATATGTCTTCTTGGGCAAGCAATGTATCTGAGTCCATAGAAGAGTTTCCTGTTCTGTAGTGAGGACTGTGTAATCCTCATGAAAGCAGTTAGCACTGTAAGATAGTTAGTATAATGATCATCAACAATAAATTCAATTATTCTTTAGATGATGAGATTAGACAATGGTCTATAGAATTTCCATCAAATTTTTATTTAACTTTAATAAGCACCCGAAAGAAAACTGACATTTGTGGCCAAATATACACAAATCATCAGCAAACTATATAAACCACTTGTGGCTGGGATTTGGGAGAATCCAACATTCCGCAGAGATAAACTGTGAAATTTAAAATGTAGCACTTTTGGGGAATTCACATAAATCTGAAATACAACACCAAGATGCAGTCTCTTATATACTCAGTAACATAAATAAGGTAACTGAATGCCAACCTCACTGACACTGACTTCAAGTCAGGAGAAACATCCAGATAGAGGCCTTAGAAAAGGAAAGTGCTGAGAGATGGTCTGCTCTCACCCTTCACCCTCCAAGATGTGGAAAGATAGATCTATAGTGGTTGGAACATTTACTTGGCGGCGGCGGGGGGGGGGGGGGGGGGGGAGTCCACAGCCAGTTAGCAGCAAAGCCAGAACCAAAACCCTTGCGTGATAAGCTTAATTCAGTGAAGAGATGAGAATCCAAAATCAAGTAGATGGACCACAGGACTCTTCTCCTAAAGATCTGCTCCCTGGCACCTTTGCTTTCAGTCCAGGCTTTGCAGTCATGTTCTTTCAGATGAAGGGGCTTCCTGATATATCCTCCTGCTTCTATACACCCAATGTTTTGTGTTCATGAACTTGATCCTTAGCTTGAGGCCAAGTTGTGTCTTTGATCTATCAGGTCTGAGAGAGAAGGAAACTTTCTCTACTCTTTGTTTCATATTTCCAAAAGTTAGTTTCAAGGTCATGTTCCTAATCTTGGACTCCAGTGAAATCTATGAAGTACCTTAGGGGTCTGTGAACCCCTGAATTGCATGCACAATTTCATTGGTTTATTCCTTTTATGAGGACCATGCCTTTTATAATAGGTTTAAAGAGATCTGTAATCTCCAAAAATCAATCAAACCAGCTGTGCTTTTTTAGTATGTTTAGATTGTTCATCCTTCAATCCCTTCTCTACTTTATTTTCTTATTTGTTTGTTTGTTTGTTTGTTTTAAACATGTTTTTATTGATTTCAGAGCAGAAGGGAGAGGGAGAGAGATATTGAAACATTAATAATGAAAGACAATCATTGATTGGCTGCCTCCTGCATGCCTTCCACTGGGAGTCAAGTGTGCCCTTGACTGGAATCAAACCTGGGACCATTTAGTCCAGAGGCCAAGGCTCTAACCATTGAGCAAAACCGGGTAGGTCTCCTTCACTTTGAAGAGTAACTTCAGCATTGGTATGTGCTAAAACAGTGTCTTTTAAACAGGAGGTGCTCACCAAATTTTTCTGCCTTTAATTTTGCTTCAAAGGAGCTTTTCCTGAGAACTACTTCTCCAGTTTGTTATTTGCTATAGTAAGACATTTTCATCTTTTTCTAATCAGCTTATGAGAGAGAGCTGGTTTTGGATTATCTCTTTTTCCTATGCTATATAATTAAACCAAATTATTTTTGTGTGGTCCTGAATGTCCTCCTTTTGATACAACAAATTCATACAGTAACCCCACATTATCCTCTGCTTTTCTATGTCTTTAAATAAATTGGTGTCTCATTTTTATTGAACTGAGATAAGTCTCATATTTACTAATAAAAGATCAAGATCTAGATGACAGATAGATTGACTTACCAATGATCATCATACTGAACTGAGGTTAGCAGTTCCTGCCCCAAATCATATTTTTCTCTGTCTCCATCTCTCTGCTCCTCTCACTCTCTTATTCTCACTTCAAAATTGAGATTCTAGGGTATAGAATTACAATTCCCTGCAGGTTACTGAGATAGCCTTGAGCTAGTTAGAGGCTAGATGAGAAGTCTAATAGTTAAAGCTTCAAGCAAATAACTTGTTAGAAGCAAACAACAAATTCCAGAAAGGCCTGCTCATGGGGGCTGAGATGCCCTCTTGTGCAGATAGCCTTCTTGATGCTTCATCCACAGGTTTGTTATGTGACCTCCACCCTGAGGATCTGGCCAGGCTTCTCGGTCAGAAGGAGAGAACATGTCTCATTGGTATCTTTTGGGTTGCTCTTCATCTGCCTCTTAATGATTATCCTTAAACTATCCACAATCTATAACCTCGTTCCACTGCATCCTTCTCTGTTTTTCCAATCAGTCCTTTCATTTTCCCTAAGTGTTGTTTGGAACATGAACTGAGTTGGTCACTGTGTTTTTTGTGCTGTTCTCTAGAAGCTCAGCTTTGAGTGGTGCTGGCTCTTCAGCTGAAGCAAAAGTTGCCATAGGAACAGGCCTACGGGTTTCCTTCCTGTACAGGAAGTGGACCTGAGCATTGCAATACTTTTTGCAGAGTTGATCAAGGCTTGTCATGTTTGGCTTATTATTTTACTGGAAGAGAATCAGTGAGCCAAGAGATACCATTTTCTTTCTTTTTTTTCTTTTAAAGTTACTTTTTTAGTGGGGGTTGGGAAGTAGAGGGGCGCTTTATTTCCAAATTATTTCTCTTCCTGTTGCCAAGGACAGTGAAACCAAAAACCACAACTGATTTTGGCCAGAGGTAACTTTACTGTCAGGGCACCTTATAGGAGTTTGCAGAGTCACTCAGGGTGAGAGGTGACAGGTATTGTCTCACATTGTGCCATTTTGGAGCAATGACAGACACCTTTACCCACAGGCAAAGAAGGAGTTACCCTCAGGGTAGAACTGATAGAAATCAGAAAATGATCTCCTTTCCCAAAATCTCCCTTGTTTGCCCAAATAGCTCCAGCCACTGGGCCTGTCATGGGACCTGAAATTCTTCCAGTAGACTTTTTCCCTCTTTATGAGGACACTGCATCTCATCCACCTATGTGAACTTGGGCAGTTCTCTTACCCTCTTGGATTGAATTTCCTCAATGTTTAAATGAGGGTTTGGAATATGTCATCTCTACAGTTCATTTCAGCTCTGAAAAGCTCTGACTATACATACCTTAAGAGGAATAAATTTTAAGCCTATTCTCTAGTCATTAACACTTAAGCATGAATACTTTTATTGTTTTTAACACAACATGAGTAAATGTGAATGATGATGAAAGATGACAAACTCCAGGGTAAGCTCAGAAGAGGTCTTGGAGCATAAGGTCACTGGTGATCTGGGGAGGGGTGGGAGGCACTAAAGGGGAAGTGGGTCCAGAAAAGGGAGATCAGTGGAGGGATACAAAAGTCATAGATGCAGTTTTGTCTAGAAAAATTTAGTCCTTTGCTATTTTGTTTCATTTCAGAAGATGATATAAAACCTAATAAAACAACTGATGAATGTTTATAAAATGCCTGAAGTAGTCAAGTGTTATTGAAGATTCAAGAAAAACATAGAGCCTAATACCTGCTCAAGAAATTATTAGCTGTGTTGAGTAGGAACCACTCAGACATCTCAGGCAGGTATCACAGGAGGCCTACAATTTCTCTTGAGTTATCTTTGTGATATTGCAGGAGATTAGGGGAAGAGTCAGTTAATGGAAAGAAGCCAACTTCCTCTCTACCTGTCCCTTGAAACCATCATATCCAGGATTGCACATGCTGAGCACTTAACACTACCAAGGGTGGCTGGATTTGGAAGACTATGATAATTTTTATAACTATTCAAACTGAGACTATTGGCTCATTATTCAGATCTGCTTCTGCTATTTTGCTTCACTTGTGACATATAATTCACAAACAAACTCTTCTTTTGTCTGTTTAATTCAGTGAATAGGATGTACTCATTATAATACCAACAAATTCAGGCTTGGCAGAAAAAAGACTGGAATGCATTATATTCTTATTTCATGAAATATAATGAGGTGAAATTAGGGGAAAATCTCATGAAAAATCACAACTACAAAAGTCCATTAGAGCAAAGATAATGCTAACAGCAAATGTTCAGATCTACTGACTTTTGGCTAATGAATTAATATTCTCTCTCTCTCTCTCTCTCTCTCTCTCTCTCTCTCTCTCTCTCTCTCTCTCTCTCTCTCATAGATAAAAATGACTGAAAAGGCGCCAGAACCACAACTGGAGGAGGAAGAGGATGACCTGGACGGGAAGCTCAATTATAAGCCCCCACCTCAGAAGTCTCTACAAGAGCTGAAGGAGATGGACAAAGATGACGAAAGTCTAACTAAATACAAGAAAACGCTCCTGGGGGATGGGCCTGTGGTAGTAGGTGTGTGTATGGTGATGGGGGTCAGGTGGAGGGTCCCAGAGAAGACATACATTTTAGCTACTCAGCAACACAGCAAAGGAAAGTGTAACAAATGCCTCCAGAGTTAAATGAATGAATCGAGATCTATAGGTGAATAAAGTGTTGGATTGCACAATTAAGTCTTCTATGGAGAAGAATTGCAAGTTAGCATTGAAACAAGAAAAGATAACATATGGGGAGGATTTAGAAAGAATTCAGTTTACCATTTAGAATTGTATTCTCTCCATTCTCACATTTTCTATGTCTTCTTATTCTCATTCATACTCCTTACCCAACCATTCATCACTTCTACATATGTTGCAGCAGACAAAAACATGGCCCAAAGAAATGAATGAACATTGCCCAGCTAGCAGAGTACCTCACCCATAATCACTCAGGAAATATTTTCTGTTTATAGTTAGGACCTACAAGTGTCCAAAGCAGAGAATAATATCACTGTAATTTATAAGACCATTGTGATGAAACATGGTAAACCTACTATTTCTACTTCAGATCAAGTTCTCACCTTTCTCTTTATATTCTTCCTCTCCTACTTGAAATGTACACACACACACACACACACATACACACATACACAGAATACATATCTCTTCTCTATGCTTACATTTCCTTTTGAATCTTGCAGATCCCAAAGCCCCCAATGTCACTGTCACCCGCCTTACCCTGGTTTGTGAGAGTGCTCCAGGACCAATCACCATGGACCTCACTGGTAAGTGAACGTATCTGTGCTGCTCAAAGAGAGCTAATGAAATCACTGGGAAAACTTGCTCTTTATCCCCTAGCCAAGAAAAAGGAAACTTATAAGGTGAACCCCTGAGATACATGTTCTGGGACCAGTTCACAAATCCTTGCTCTCAGGGAGCACAGTATCGACCATGCTTCATGACAGCCAAACTCTGTCTCTAAATGAAGAGAGTGCAGGCATAGGTACTGAATATATTTACCTGAAACGGATTTACTTCGGATTTTTATCTGCACATGATAGCAGAATTCCTATGGAAATTACTTAAAGGATGGAAACATTAAGAAGCTGTATGCTTCCTGAATTGTAATATTTATACAATCTAAACGTCAGAGACAGTATTGATCTTATAGCAGCTATAACTTGCATGACATGAAAGCAAGAAGCAATCTAAGACCTCCTGAATAATGCTAGGAATTCCACTGCCAATTATATATATTATTTTAACTTAAAGCTCTGATTCTTTTAAATAAGCAACTCTCCAACCCCTCAAAAATATGTACAAATTAAGATGTTAATTTCTTTCACTTTACTGTAAACCAGAATCAAGGTCTTTCTGAGACTTGAGCTGAGGAGAGGCTAGAAAGGCGGGTATTAGAGGGGAGTGGGCATCTCAGAGAGAAATAAGGGCCACAGAGCTAGGAGGTTGGAGGAGTAAAGGCAGGTTTTTAATGAAAAGAAAAAAGTATCACCAGATTTAAAAAGTGAACCCTTGAACCCTTGGCTCTCAAACAGAGAGACTGAGCAGCAAAGTAGTTCCCCTCTCACAGAACATATCCACTTTTTGCCTTATATGGGCTTTTTTGTCAGAGAGAGGAAATCAGAGGCTGAGTAGATACTTCCTCTTCAACTGAAATCGTTAGAGCAGACACACCAATTCAAACTACCCCCACGGTCTAGCGTCTCTCCTGGCGAGACACACGCATTTTCTTTCTCTTTCTTTTTTTCTTTCTTTTTTCTTTCTCTCTCTCTCTCTCTCTCTCTCTCTCTCTCTCTCTCTCTCTCTCTCTCTCAACTCGGGCCTCTTCCACTGTGCAATTGTGTAATGTGACCAGGTACAACTGTCATTGTGTAAGATAAGGCCTGATTGAGTGCTAAGGAAACTGGAAACTTGTTCTTTTTTGAAGGTCTTGCTTGATGTTATTATAGGGGAGAGTTGGTCCCTGTCCCTTTTCCCAACACCTGAAAACCCAAATTTGGTTTTCTGTCACCAAGAAGCTACTGAGATGAATCGCAGATATACTGTATATAGGGTGCCGATACCAGCCTGTGCATGAAGCATGTGCACAGAGCAGTGCAAAACAAACACATGTTCATTCCTCAGTGTCCAAGGATACAGATTGATATCAGGAGAATTACAGACAATGATTATCTTCTGACCTGGGTGCAGGGATAAGAGCAGATTCCAGTTTTATGGAGCCTGAAGCTTTTATGACTTAAGTGTCTCTCCTTAAGAATACTAATCTGAAATTGCAAATGCAAAATTAAGTACAAAAGCAAATATTTATTTGGAATGATAAAAAGGAATCAAAACAAGTGCATCTTTAAAAGCTAGAAAATGCCACAAACATGACCAAATCTAAAAAAAATATAAGTAGCTAGTATTCTTATTCATTACTTCTCCTATATTTCTTTATTTGAGGTGTAGGGGCATATTTTTTTATTCTTTAATCATTTTTTTTTGTTTGGTTACGTATATGCAATGTCATGTTCAATAGAGAGACTAGAGAAATCGTCCAGTCTGTCCTCTAGGGTGGTTGATTAAAAGTTGTTTTCTATTATTGAACAATTATAATAGACATTTTTGTGCATAACTCATTACTGGTAATGCTTTGTATCTTCTCAGGGCTGTTGTCAAACTAAAACACATTTCTTTCATATCTGCCTGTAAGATTTCAGGCATTTCAAGTGTGCATATGCACAGCCACTAATCTCAAGTATCACTGGATGAGGGCCAGGTGGACCATGTTGCTCTGATGGGCCCAGCAAATAGCTCTGGAGCTTGAACTTCATCAACTTTTGTACCTCCTTCTGAGAATAAACTCTTTCTAAATCCACTTCAACAGGGGATCTCGAAGCCCTCAAAAAAGAAACTTTCGTGCTAAAGGAAGGTGTTGAATACAGAGTGAAAATTTGCTTCAAAGTAAGTATCTTGCCCTACATGTTTGACAAAGTTTAAATCCTTTCTGTAATCAAAGAAAGAAAAAGAATCAAATTTCTTACATTATCTTGTTGGCAAACTTTGTGTTTTCTTTTTTCCCCCTGGAGATAGATTTTCTTCTCCCCAACTCTGGGCTCCACCCATTGAGACATGCCCTTTCCTCCTGCCTTTCCCCAACCAGAACCTCCTCCTTTAATTAAGCCAATGGGATCCCTCTCTCTGTGAACTCCTAATACTCCCATCCATAATGCTCACCTCTCTTTGTATTGTACCATGTATGCCATTTCTCCCCTATCCTGCCTAAGCACCTTGAGATAGGGAGAGATTTCATATCCCTTCTTTCCAACAATTCACACAAAACTTTGTAAATGGTAGGTATTTAGTGAATATTTATTGAGAGATAGATGAGTGAATTAATTAATAGGAAAAGAAAATAGAACAGCTCTAATTGCTCAATAATTGTATAAAGCCAGAGAGTATGGGTCTTGATAAGTAACTGGAAATTAGAATTTAGTTGTGGAACAGGTAAGCACAAAACTGAATAGGAGATAAACTGACATATAATGAGTAAGTATATGTCCCAGAGAGCAGCCAAATCAAGGAGAAAAATAACCTTGACTTTGAAAACAAATGTCAGAAATTCATTGTTTGCTCTTAATTGCTTATATTTGCCTTGGTTGCCCTCCTTCCCAGTCAGTCATACTCTCCAGGGCCTGGGTTCCACCAAGGAAAGCCTCACCTCCTTCTTTATTTGCACACCAGGCCCTTCTAGCCCCTGGGTGCAGGGTGTGACTCAGAGCCCATGAACAATCACTCTCCACCATATACAAATATGCCCCAAAATAATTTCATTCTGAAAATAAGTGTCAGTGCCTACTCTATAATAGGCACTGAGCCACAGTTCACTCCCTGATTTCCTGTAGTACTATTTCTTACTAATGCACCTGCGAGTTTGGTAAAGCATTGAATCTAAATGTGCCTAGAATAAGTTACACTGTAGTCCAATTTAAAATACATATTTTTAATGGATTTTAAAGAGGAGGGGAGAGGGAGAAGGAGATAGAAATATCAATGATAAGAGAATCATTGATCAGCTGCGTCCTGCATGCCCCACATTGGGATTAAGCCCACAACCCGGGGCATGTGCCCAGACCTGGAATTGAACTGTGACCTCCTGATTCAGAGGTCTATACTCAACCACTGAGCAACACCTTGTAGGAAATTCAATTTTTAATCATTAACACTACTGCCTTAATCTGTCAATTTAGTAAGCCCGTTTTTATCACATGAAATGAATCATGACAGGTAAATGGTGATGTGAATGAGATGAAAAATAAAGGTGTGGAGCATGTACTTCTGCTCTGTGGGGAGACCAAGGAGGAAACCGGTGGTGGGGGCCTCAGTAGTCAGGGCTACACATTAAGGTGATGGACGGAAGGACACAAAAAGAGGGTCTCAACGGGAGAAGGTCTCCACCTCAGGGGTGCAGCCTTGTCTCTAGTGATAACCCCCCTGAAGTTGAATCACCCTGTGGCCATCTCAGCTCCAGTTAGAAGAAACACCAGATCAAAATGAAAAATAATTGAAAAGCATTTTAAGGCATGGCTAGTTTGGCTCAGTGGATAGAGTGTTGGCCTGCAGACCAAAGGGTCCCAGGTTTGATTCTGCTCAAGGGCATATTCCTTGGTTGCAGGCTCCTCCACTGCCCCAGCCCTGGTTGGGGCTCATGCAGGAGTCAACTAATCCATGTGTTTCTCTCACATCAATGTTTCTCTCTGTCTGTCCCTCTCCCTAAAAATCAATGGAAATGTTATCCTCAGGAGAGGATAAACAATAAATAAATAAATAAATAAATAAATAAATAAATAAATAAATAAATAAATAACAGTTTAATTCTATGCTGATGTCTCTTGAAGAATGTCCAAGAAAGTTTGCGTGTGTATATAACACCAGCAACATTTCCTGAAACCCTCTTTTTTTATGTCTGTTAGTTGCTCTCAGTGCTCTTCTCTTTCTTCCCCAAAACTTGACAATACTCTTCCAAAATTTGGCCTGTGATGATTCTTTTAGTTTCTTTCTTCTGGCTCCTAAGAAACGTAATATGTCTGACTTCCACAGCTCTCACTTCCATTGGCATCCCCAAGGCTTTTTCGTCCTCGTGTGGAGATACATGGGGAAGGGCATCCAGGCAGAAGAAGAGAATAGCAGGAATATTCATACTTTTTTATCCATATAAACATTAAATGGACATTTTATGAAGCAGTAGCAAAATATGAAACTCTTTGTTTTAAAGACCTTATTTCTATGCCACCATCATTTTTAGGTCTTATTTCCATCAGATCAATTTCCCATGAGGCCAAAGGGACTGGCTGAGAGGCTTCTAGAAAGATCCATTCATTTTCCCTATTCCTATGAGCCATATGTGGAAGTCAGAGTCATTAGAAAGATTGGGTTTTATTATATCACAATTTCTTCATCATGTTTCCACTTTATCTGCTTTTGATAGAGTTATATGACAGATTTTACTGAGTGACAGTCTAGAGCCTAAGCTGATAATATTCACTGCAATGCTACCTCATTATAAATAATGAAGCCCTGAAAGATTGATTTAATTATCCTGCCCAAAACAAAAAGGGAGCCATAATCATTGTTCAAGAGAATTCAGGAGAAATTATTCAAAGGTGCTTAAATTCTTCATATTGATGAACAATTAACCAAGCCTTCCAGCTAATGATGCAATGACCAATTTAATGTGTTTGTATAAACATGATCACCATATAAAATTAACAGACAACCCAGTTCAGTCCGAGGTAAAATGACTAATGGAAAAACAAAGTAATTGGACTGTTTATATTTTCATTCTGCCTTGGTGAATTTTCTTTGAAAGGCTTGGGAAAGTATCACCACCTCAGACAACGTCTGAAAATGACAGACATCCAAAATACTTGCCAGACACCAGTGGCTTTTACCCATTATTTATCTATAGGGAGGATGCTTTCCTGTGGCCCATCTTTTCAGCTCAAGACCTTGAGTTGTACTTACATTACAGGAACAACCACCTCCTAGACTTGATTTTCCATTACAGCTCTTCTCCTTCTTGTTTGGTTTTTGTGGGCTAGGTGGATCATTTCTCAGGTTAGGGTTTTCAGATATTTACATAATATTTTCCACTGGTGGCATTGTAGCCTTTCCTAAGATGAGGACATTCTTCTGGCTAGTAGAATCAGGGAGAGGGAGCTCAAGACCATCCTTTGGACCATCGAGGAAGGAGAAATGTAATGAAGAATATTGAGACGGTGTTTTAATTAAAACACAAACCTCTTCACAAACCCCCAAATCACAGTCTTCAATGATTAAAACCCGATTGGCAACACTGAGTCTTGTGAACTCCTCTCTCCAACCTCTGCCACACCACCACACTAAATGATAATGGTAACACTTACTCTGAACTCAATCTTCAGTCTTCTTATGCTCAGAGAAGACAGCTAGGTAGGATCAGGCTAGATAATGATGAAAAATGAAAGAGCCCCTTTAATCTGAATTGCTTGTGTCCTTCCCACCTACAGGTGAACAGAGATATTGTGTCAGGCCTGAAATATGTTCAGCACACCTACCGAACTGGGGTGAAAGGTAAGTGAACTACACTTTACACTGTCCTCAAATCTGCTTCTCACTGATACTTAAAGTTCCGGTTATTAGCAAGTTTTAGGCATGAACTCATTTTAAGAATCTGATAAAAAGCTGTGAAGTCTCACCCTAGGGAAAGGCACGCATATACCTTTGACCTAGATATTAATGGCAAGACTTACCTTCAGGAGACATAGTTTAGACTGAGTCAACCACTCACCTTCAGCATTCAGCTTATGGAATTCGACTTTCTTGCTCATAAATGGAAAGAGTAACCAACATAAGATTGAATAAAATAAAGTACATAAAAGTACTCTCAAAAGTAAAAAGTAAATAAATAATAAATAAAGCAGTTCGCAGGTATAAAACCTGAGTGTCAGGGAAATCCAAAACAAGAAAGAAGGAAAGACTTATCCACTGGCATTTTGTGTTTAATGGAAATGAGAGTTGGTGGAGTGGTGGAAGGGTGAGGTGTGGGGAGAGGGAGGGAAGTGCTTCATTTCCTAAACAAAGAAAGAAAAAACTTCTTTCTGGAATTGAGAAAGGCTGCCTATTCGGAACAACTAATATAAGCATTACTTAATTGGCAGTTATTCTTGACAAGTTGTACCTAAATTGTACATGCCTTGGGAACCTGTCCTCAGGTCTCTTCCATGAGTATGGGTAGGGGGACCTGATGGGAGCACACTGACAGTCCTTTTCTACCTTAGGGCTCTCTTCCCACGGAGGTGTGAAACAGTAATGCATCCATCCCACCAAGTCCATAAACAAGAGAGAGAGGAAAGGTCTGATAAATCTGCATGCCATAGAGAACCACTCGGTTACTCAGATTCCACAGAAGATTGTGGAGCTAAAAGATTTTAATTGGTCTTTCCAATATCTAGTCTCATGAAAAATAGAGTTCAGTTTCTCATTTTTGGGGGGGCATGGGGACTATGTTGCCTCATTGAAGGGAAAGGGCTAGGATGTGTCTGTAGCTGTTCCTTCAGACTTATTCACAACACTCAACAGCTAACTAAACATTGCCTGCCTGCCTACCTACCTACCTGTATTTGCACTTTCTAATTCCCTATTTATTCTTAATATACATTCCAGTTATTCACCTCTTAACAGGGTTGGTTAGCTATTTTCACCATTTGTTCCAATTCTTACTTTTTTAAAGCTTTATCTTTATTGTTGAAGATATTACAGACGTCCCTCCATTGACCCCCGCTATTTGCTCCCACCCAAGAAATGTTAAAGGGGCTGCTATAATAAGCATAAAAAATAAAATTGACAATAAATAAATACCTATCAATAATAACCTTAAATGTAAATGGGTTAAATGCCTCAATCAAGACATCGGTTGCCTAAATGGACAAGAAACCCAATTCTTTTTAAATCAAATTATTGTTTTTCCCCTTGCATTCAAATTATACTACCCATAATATCTGTTCATTCTGGTCACCAGCTGTTATCTTATCTGCCCTAATTGATGTGTTTATTAAATGGTAGTCTGTAGATAAAAGATCCATGAAGTTCATTATATAAAAAAGAAATGGAGGCCCAAAATATTATGACTTAGAAAAGAACTCAGGTCTCAACTAGTTTGAATTTTTTGGGGTTGAGATATAATTGACATATAACATTGTATTAGTTTTAGTTGTATGGTATAATGACTTGATATATGTATATATTATAAAATGATTACCATAATTAACATCCATCAACACACAAAGTAATAATTTTATTCTTGTGATGAGATCTTCTTAAGATCTACCCTTTTAGCAACTTTCAAACATACAGTATGATATTATTAACTGCTAGAGGCCCGGTGCATGAAATTTGTGCATGGGGGTTGGGGGAATCCTTTAGTCCAGCCTACATGCTCTCCAAATCCGGGATCAACTCAGGGGATGTCCAACTGCCTCTTCCAATCCAGGACTGCTGGCTCCTAACCACTTGCCTGCCTACTTGACCGCCCCTAACTGCTCCCCTACAGGCCTGATCACCCCAATTGCTCCCCTGCTAGCCTTATCGTGCCTAACTGCCTCTACCTTGCCCCATACTCAGGACCCAGGATTCCCTCAGTCTCAGGCACCCATGACCCAGGGTTCCCTCCCTTTGGCTGGCTTCAGGCACCCAGGACCCAGGCTGGCTTCACCCAGGCTGGCCACAGCCACAGGGGACCATGGGTGGGTGGTTTTGCCAGTCCACACCCACAGGTCCCTGGGACCACAGGATGGGTGGCTTGTCCCTCTCCTAGGCTGCAACCTGGCTGGTCCCCATTCCTGTCTTGCAAGCTCATTTGTGCCTGGCTGGTTCCCATTTCTCTCTCCTCAGTGTTGAGTGTCTGAGCAGTTCCAGCATGAGAGCATGAGAGCATGAGGTCATAACAACCATTTGCAAATTAGCTCTTTATTATATAGGATAGTCACCATGCTGTACATTACATTCCCAGGACTTACTTACCTCATAAGTGGAATTTTATACTTTTTGACTACCTGGGACTTTTTTTTAATGGTATAATCTGCTTCATCTCCATAAAAATATTCTTCATCTCTGTTGATTTAAGGCACTGATTCCACAATTTTTCTGAATAAACTATTTTTTAAAAACACTGATTCTAGGGATCCACACTAGGTTTCTTGACCATCATCTTTGGGTCAAAGGAAACTGTAGTATTAAAAGGCACTCAAATAAAAAATATTTTTTAAAGAAAAAAAAACCAAAATGGTGCCTAGGTCAACCTGATGTTTAGCCAGGTTTGGACACCATGGCTTTGGCTTTGATCCCTCTAAGCAGTGCTCCAAGTTCTCCAGTCCGTAGTGTTTGTTTTTCTCTCTCAGACTCTTGCCCTAACGAACTTTCCTTTCTTCCCAGTGGATAAAGCCACATTTATGGTTGGCAGCTACGGGCCTCGGCCAGAAGAATATGAGTTCCTGACTCCGATTGAGGAGGCTCCCAAAGGCATGCTGGCCCGAGGCACCTACCACAACAAGTCCTTCTTCACTGATGACGACAAGCACGACCACCTCACCTGGGAGTGGAACCTGTCCATTAAGAAGGAGTGGACAGAATGAGCACATCTGCCCGTCCCTGTCCCTGCCCTGCCACCTGGAAGAACCCTCTGCATCGTGTTCACTGCCCTGTCCTCCCCCCTCATTGCCGCTGGGCCTCTTCCCCAAGACCCCTTATATCCTCTTGTTGAAGCATTTACTCCCGCTCTTTCTCTCTCTTAGAGTGATCCCTAACACTGGACGCTTAAAGCCCAGGCTTTAATCCTGCCCACTCTGATCCCCCGTCATGGTCAGATCTTTGAAGTTCTGTTTCTCAATGCACCACCATGAAATATTTCTTCTCTTATTCCCATTTGAGGAGTGAGAGGCCAGGAATCACTAACCACCCTTTTGCCTTGTGTTCCAGTACTCATTCCCACCCCTGGATTGTTCTGTGGTTGCTGCTGGCTCAGTGAACGTCCCTAGCCACATTCCCTGCCATGTGGGTTTCTTCTTTTCTGGGAGACACTTAAACAGCACAAGAGAGTGAGAATAAAGCAATTATATGACCTGACTGAGACTCTCATTTCCCTGCTTTCTTCATTTAAACAAATATGATAACTGGATGGTTCCTTGGAGGGAGTGGGGCAGGACATAGTAGAGGAGGCATTTACATCACTGGGAACAGTTTGGGTCCTCTGTTCCTGCAAAGGGCAATGAACCTTAAAAATGTGAATAGAAAAAAATCTCAGTTTGTTTTATTTTATGGTATTATCATATGACAGTTGTTTTCTGATCTTGAGACCTATATCTCCCACTGCCTGTGGGAGTCTCTTGGAATTCCACAGTCATCTTGGCCCAAATCAGACACTGTATCTTTTCTGTTTAAGATCTTTCCATGGATTCCCATCACCTACAAAATAAAATGGAAGCTCCTAGTCTTAATTCATAAGCCCCTTTGTGATCTGGTCCCAACATACCTTTTGGCCTGTAATGATCATTTCCTTCCCTTTGGAAAACTCAATCACTAATAATTCTCTCTCACATTACCTGTGCATCGTTGGGATTTGTCTCATTACATGAAACTCAGGTTCCATTTTTTTGTCTGGAAAATTACTCAAGACTCTGGTTGGGCATCCCCTGCAGGGAAAAAAGCCTTCGTGAACCCCACCACTGTCCTAAATATCCTTCGTCTGCCCTCTCACAGTGCTCTATGAGTTCTTTTTTTTTTTTAACTTTTCATTTTATTTGTAAGTGATCTGTTTATCTGTGCATTTCTCACATTAACAATCTAAGCTGGAGAGGCTAGATCAGATTATAGTTATCTTTGTATCCCTAGTGCTTAGGTCAACACCTAGCATAGAACATTATTTACTTATTTAAATGAATTGACTTGACTTTCTTCTGGTTGGTTTTGTGCTGAGGCCCTGTCACTAAACTAGGTCCTTTATCTCAGAAGTTGAAGGTTCCCCTAGAGCCAGCTGCAAAGTTCCCAAAGCTCTAAGCACACCACAGCCCATGACCTACAGAGTAGGCTGCCCCGAGTCCATGTCCCAAAACACAAAGTCCAGGGGTTGGATCAGGAGCAGAAGAAGAGGAATGGAAGCGACACCATCCAGATGCCTGTTCCTATTATTTCTCTTCACTTGCATGCTGTCCCCAGATGTTGCTGCAGAAATTCAAGAATCCTCAGGTAAACAAAGAAAAGCAAAAGGCACTTGGGTGTCCATAGGGCGGAAGTGTTGTTAGGGGAAGGAAAGGGAACAGGGTCACGCCCTGAATACTTTTCCTCCAAACCTGGAATATTCCCCCGGGAAATGGCTGTGTTGCCTGGTGGAGAAGAGAGAAGTTTGGCATTATCCTCCAGAGAGTGGCCACAAGGTGGGGTCGCCCTCCATATGTTGGCAAAAAATAATAATAATAATAAATGAAGCTTTGGAATAATCATTGTACCCCTTGAGTTCCTTGCCTTGGTGTGGAGAGAAACAGTCTAGATGCCCCTATTACTTAGAGCTGCTACTTTTCATAGGGTGTCATCACTCACCTTCTGCTTCTCTCTCTCTCTCTCTCTCTCTCTCTCTCTCCTATGTCTAGATGGTTCCAGTGCCTCCCAGGAACCTGTGCGGCTCACAGGTGTCCCCACTGCCATGGAATTCATTGCTGCTGCTGAGGTGGTTGTCATAGGCTTCTTCCAGGTTTGTCAGATACCCTGCTTGTTATGCCCCCAGAGCAGCAGGAATGCCGCTATGAGCTGACCAGGCGGCACTACCTTAGAAGCCAAGGGGCTCGGAGTGAGCTTTCAGCTTTTTTTTTCAGGAACTCCCCATTTTTAGGCATTTCCAGTCTCTGAAAATATGTCTTTCTCAAAAGTTCTGAGACTGCTGAGGAGACTCTGGGTCTCCTCATCTATGGGTGCTTTGAAACCTAAGATGGTATCTGATTGCTGAGTCAGGGGCAGAGTCAACCCAACTTCTATCATCCAGGTGATGTACGAGTCAATAGTGACTTCCGTCTGACTCCTTACCAAATAGCTAGTCTCTCCTTCTTCTATTTCGCTGTTTGATATGCATTGTTGAAGAAGGTTGACATTTTATACATTGAAGGTGTTAGCCTCTGTCTTCGAGGTTGGCTGCCTGGCTAATGAGAGCAGCCATAAATGAGAAAGCGTCGTTCCAGTATTTTTATCTTTCTCTGGAGATAACATCTGGTGATTCTCACAGCTGATCAAGCCCCCTTCTCTCTCATTGCAGACCTCTTGTCAGTTTCCATTAATTCGAACTGATCATCACCCTGTGGATTCTGTGTACACAGCTGGAAATAGCTGTGAGGAGATGTATGGGGTGGCAGGGGATGGCGATGCGGGGAAGGGCGATGCTAAGAAGGGAGCACATTTTTTCAGTGATAAGAGCTCTGAGCTGCAGGCAAAAGCAGCCACCCTCAGAAAGGCAGGGAGGGGTGAGAAAGTGGGACTGGAGGAGTGTGCAATAACTTAAACAGCCACTAGATGCCGTCATTTGATCTGTGAGCAATTGCATTTTAAGGGGAAGTCTGGATTAACAATGGTTCATAGCCTTAATGGACTCCACACCGCCTCTGCTTGACCCGGGATGCAAGGCTAGCCATCTTCTTTTCTCTTTGCCCATTTCCTTCAGACCAGAGAGATGTCGGGGAAGAACATGTTCACTGTTTATTACCTGGAGCTGTTGTGGGCAATGTTGCTGTGACAGCAGGGAAAACAGTATCAGCTTACTATATAAGACTGGACTGCACAGGTGGCTTCCCTGCCCCCTCCTGCAGGCCTGAGGTCTGGAGTTAGATCAACGGGTAAACAGTATCTTTCATGAGCAATACCTCGGGCTTGCACACAGTAGAAAGAGGACTATTCTTTCACACCCTGCACAGATCTTTCTTAACAAAATTTCTAAGCTTCCATATTTATTGTTTATTTTTGGCCCTTTTCACAATATTTTCTTATTTTTGTATTTCTTTTTTGCTTCCACCAATTGTTCCTAAAACATTTGCCTTCACTGGTATATCAGTGATAATGCTGCCCACTTTTGCAGGGCCCTGTGATTTTGAGGCCCCTCTCAGTTACTAATAAACTGCAAGTTCTATGGTCAGACCAGGCAGGAGTCCCAGGCATAGCCACAATTTTAGTTATCAGTTAACCCACTAAGCTCAGACTCAAAGTCAAGTCTCTGGTTTCTGGTATGATAAGCTCATTTCAATTCCATGTTCTGTTTCCATATCTCTCTTCTCTAAAATGACCTCTGTCATTTCTCCTTGCTTTTAGGATTTAGACATTCCAGCAGTGCCCGTATTCCGTGGTGTGGTGAAAAAATTCCAAGACGTGTCATTTGGAATCAGCACTGATTCTGAGGTTCTGGCCCACTACAACATCACTGAGAACACCATTTCTCTCTTTCGTCTGGTAAGTTGGGTGGGTGGCTCAAGCCTTTTCCAGGTTTTTACTTACCTTAGATTGTAAACTCACAAACTTGTGAGACTAGAAAGAAGTCTATGTCTTTAACCCTAATGACTATGCCAGCATCAGGGACAATGGTGACAAAGATGATGGCTCAACTCAAGCTTTCCAAACAGATGCTGTCGTGAAATAGAAAGAGGTCTGAACTGAGAGTCAGGAGATGAGATTTGATGCTGACCAGTCACGTGACTCGGGCAGGTCACTTAACCTTTCTTAGCCCCAATTCTTTAATCTCTATAAAATAAAATGGTTCAACTATATCACCTCTAAGATCATGTTGAGCTCTAACATGTATACTTTTATATTTTTGGGAGTTAACTTACATTTGTAACAATGTATCAAACTGCAAGATATTAACAATGAAAGCAAATTAACTCTATTCTCTTCTATCATAGAATTTAAAATATAATAGATTGTAAACATAATACACAAGTATCTACAATACAAAGAGCATCATATAAATAAAGTATTATAAGGGTTCAAAGGTTAAAAGCAGGATAGATATTCTGATCAAAAAAAATTATAAAAAAAGAAAAGTGAACAGGGATTTAACAAATAGGTAAAATTTAGACAAGGTGAAAGACTGGGAACAAAAATGTAGAAAACAATAATCAGGCTAATTCGATTGAATCTCAGGGTGCATGTTTTGGGGAAATGAATATAAAACAGAGAAGCTTGATTGGAATCATATTGTGGAGAAATTTGGATACTAGCTTGATGTGTTTTCACTTAATTTGGTTGGCACAGAAAAGGCACTCAGGCCTTTAGATTAGGGGAGCAACATGAACATAAATGTATTTGAGCAATGTTGTTTTGGCATATGGGTAGGATGGATTTCCAGGCAAAAAAAAAAAAAAAAAAAAAAAAAAAGCGTGGAGAAAAATTTAGTTAGGCTGGCAAAACAGCTCCTGTTGTAGAGCAGTCACATTAGAAAGTGAAGAAAAGGCAGGGTTTGCAAGGATGAGATATTAAAATGCTGGAAGGCACAAGAGGCCAAGCTTAAAGTCAAGGTACCTAGGAAGGGTGAGGGCCTATTCAGAAAGAGGGATTTCTGATGTTGTGGCTAGTTGTTGAGTTTATATTATTGGCAGAGTATCAAAGTAGAGATGACAGAGTCCACTGGAAATGAGAAATTGGGCAAAAGAAAGTTTCAAGATTTCCTTACCCTTCTCACCTCCATCCTATCTATCTCTTTTGCTTCTCATCCAAACCTCTCCTTACATGCAGTTAATATTCACACTATCACCAAAACCGATTTGGCTCAGTGGATAGATTGTCAACCTGCAGACTTAAGGGTCCCAGATTAAGGGTCAAGGGCATGTACCTTGGTTTTGAATACATCCCCAGTATGGGGTGTGAAAGAGGCAGCTGATCAATGTTTCTTTCTCATTGATGTTTCTAACTCTCTAACTCCCTCTCTCTTCCTCTCTGTAAAAAATCAATAAAAAATATATTTAAAAAATATTCACACTATCTCCAACTTTCTTTAAGCTCTTACATACACTGCTGTCTAGCTGATATCCTGCATCCATTAAAACTGCTTTTGTCAGCACATTTCTGTACGTATTTCTAAATCCCATGAACATTTTTTAGGTCTTATTGTCCTCAACATCTCTTCCATGTATGACATATTGACTACTTTTTTTTTTTTTTAATCTCTCTTTCCTTAACTTCTAGGAGCCTACTTCTCCTGGTCCTCCTCTTCTTATCTTAGTCTCCGTGAGGCCTTCTCTTCCATGCTACTGCCTGACACAATGCTTTTCCCAAGCTAAGTTATATAATCCAAGCGTTGTGGGGCACTATTTCAACCACAGAGCCTAAAAGAGTGCCTGCTGTGTATCAGGTGCTCATTAAGTGTTCATTGAGTAAATAAATATGTGTATGAATGAATGTGCAATCCTTAGGTAATATAATTCTTTCTCATGTTAGACTATTAAGTGTTTGCTGAGGATTTGGAATGTTTCATCTCTAGCCTGGACCTCTGTTGTAATTCAAATGCTTGCTGGTTGAAGTCCCTCATAAGCACTATAGTCTCAACGTGTTCAAAACTGAATTTATCATGTGCACCTGATGAGTCATGTTCTTTCCTCTAAAACTTTTTTTTATTGGATGGCTATGTTCATTTGATCTCTAATTTTTTTCAAATTGGGCCTCCTCTCTTACTGAACCTATATTCTTTTTCCTTATTTCCACTTCTTTCTTCTGTTTAGATGTTTAGCATCTATGGCAGAGACAATCCAATAGCTTCTTAATCAATCTCCCTTTGCTATTTCATAAGTAATTTCTACATTGGTATTACCATGGTAAATTTAAAAGGGAAATTTGACCATGGCACTCCTTCCTTTAAAACTTTTCAATATTTCCTATTTCTTACAAGGTAAAAATCAAGATATTTAAACATATTGTCTTTTATGACATGCCCACTAGTTGCTTTTCTATTCCCTTTTCTAGCACATTCCTATCTTGGGTTATACCCACTCAACACCCAACTATCCTATATAATATAGAGCTAATATGCAAATGGCTCTTGTGACCTCACAGCAGGCTGGGGAACCTGAGGTTGTGCCAGGGGACCTGAGGCCGTGCCCCCTGCCCAGCAAGACTTAATGGGGGACCTGAGACTGCATCCCCCACCCTGCAGGGCTTGATGGGGGCAGGGCCGGCCAGGTCTGGGTCTCAGGTGATTTTGAGGTGTGTGCTGGTGAGCAGGGACTTGACTCTGGGTCCTGTGGTGCACCCCAGACTCTGACAGAAGAAAGATTTTCATATACATTTTACTAATTTTCTTTCATCTCTGACACTTTTATTATAGAGAAAGGGCAAATAGCAATATTAAAATATTTCTTCTAATTCCCTTATAATGTGCACAAATTTCATGCACTGGGCCACTTGTACATAGTATAATGACCCAAGTTCATCGTTTCACATGGCTATTCCTCTGCCTAGAAGGCCACTGTCCCTAAGAACCCCCTTTCACTTAGGCTTACCCAGCTAACTCCTTCTCACATTCCAGTGAATCAGCCAGGCATCTTATCCTTCAGAAAGCCTCCCTGGAATCTCCAAATTGGCCTAACTAACCTCCATGTTAGCATATCTATTTATCTCTATTTCATTTACCACTTTGTAGTGCAGGTCATATATTTCTGTGTCTCTCATCTTTTCCCCTGTTTCTTAAGGACAGAAACCATGACTTCTAGTCTTCTAGTCTCCAGAAGACACAAAGTGTTTGAGGAACGAACTCGCCTCCATAAGTATGTCTGTGGGTGCATGAGTACCTTCATCAGCCCTATCCCCACTTAGACAGGAGTTGTAGGTTTGCATTTTCACCATCGTGAAAAAAGATTGAACCAAGATCTTCTGTGAAAAGCTTTGGTAAGAAAGAAATGGAAGGTTAGGTTAATACCTTTCATGTTCTTATTGAACCATTCATAGTAACCCTTCACTAGGAAAATTCTAATCAAAGACAGCTTCATAAAGTACTTCTTTGCCGGTTTGCTATTTTTAGATCTTATGAAGGCCTGATTTTAAAGTCACATGTGAGGGAGAAAAACAAGTGCTGTTACTTCCAAAGTCTATACAGGCTTTATGGCTCGACTGGCTGAATTAACTCTGCTTACAATTCATTCCTTATAAAGTCTTGATGATGACTTCCCAGAGCTGTTCCCTTTTATTTAGTATGTTTTTTGTTTATCACTAGTGACAGACCTGCTCAGAATGAACTCGTGAGACCTCTGGGAACAGGATTACTTTGTGCCATACCAAAAACAAACACACTGGTCCTTACCCTGCTCCATTTGCCAGTCTGGGAGAGGTTCAACTTGCATCATGCCAGCTTTTAGATAAACATTTTTTGCTTAGTTTACACTTTCAAAGTTGTGTCCATGTTTTAGTAGAATTATTATTCAGGAGTTTGAGATAGAAAGAGAGAGAGAGAGAGAGAGAGAGAGAGAGAGAGAGAGAGAGAGAGAGAGAGAATATATCAACCAAAACTAATCTACTTTACAATGGGAAATGCTGCAAATTTTCTGGTACGTACTTTTATACTAGGTTTAAATTTTTACTGTTTGTTTGTTTCAGTGCCTAATTTATGATAGGCACTCTGCTAGATATTTTTCATTGTTCTACCATTCAATTCTCACAAAATTAAATGAAATAATTACTGTTCTCCTTGCATTATCAATAAGGAAATTAATAAAGTTCCATGAGGTTGATTCAGTTGTCCAAAGTCTCACTATAACATGACAGACATCTGATTCATACTCTCTGCTGCTGTCTTCAAAGTACACCTTCTGTACGATACTACGGCAACTTTCTAAAGCACTTTTTCCTGAAGAAAACTTTTTTTGTTTTGTTTATTTTTATTGATTTCACAGAGGAAGAGTGAAGGAGAGAAAGATTGAAATATCAATGAAGAGAGAGAATCATTGATCAACTGCCTCTGTATAGCCCCCATTGAAGATCAAGTCCACAACCTGGACATGTGCCCTAGATGGGAATTGAACCCAGGACCCTCCAGTCTGCAGGCTGATGCTCTATCCACTGAGCAAAACCGGCTAGGGCAAACACCTTACTCCTTGTTTTTACTCCTAGATTCACCTCATTCAAAAGCCTGCTTTTTTTAAACCACTTTCTCCTAAACAATTTCTCTGTCCCACTGGCACTACTTATCAAACCGCAGGGTTATTTCTCAAGATTTAATCTAGACATTATATACTTTGTCAATAAAGTTTTAGAATTTAGACATATATTATTTTCAACTGCAAGAACATATGTAGAGGTATATTAAAACAGTGATAAATGAAAACATGATTAAGACTATAATGGTTAACATTACCAGATGCTTGAAATATTGGCGCATAAAAATGAGAGACCAGCAAATGCTATCTGTATTCATGGAATGCATCACTTTCCAGAAATAATGCGAGCTGATTAGATAAATATCATCA